CAGGAACCTACTCCTGTGATAACAGCATTCATCTGTTTGTGAGGGAGAGTTCTCATGATCTAATCATCTTTTAAAAGTTCCACCTCTCAACACTGTTGCATAGAGTATTAGTTCCGTATTAGTGTATTACGTATAGAGTATTAAGTTTCTGTATTAGTTCATTTGCACACTACTATAAAGACATATCTCAGACTGGGTAATTTATTTTATTTTTTGTGCTTTATTATTTTTTATTGTACTTTAGATTCTGGGGTACATGTGCAGATCATGCAAGATTGTTGCATAGGTACATTCATGGCAAGATGGTTTGTTGCAACCATTCCCCCATCACCTATACTTGACAGGAGGTTTAATCAGGGCATGGTTCAACTTACTAGCATGGTAGGAGGTTACAGGGAAGCAAGCACATAACAACCAAATCTCATAAGAACTCATTCACTTTCATAAGAACAGCAGGGGGAAGTCTGCCCTCATGATCCAATCACCTCCCATCATGTACCTCCTCCAACACTGAAAATTACTATTCAATATGAGATTTCGGCAGGGACACAGACCCAAACCATATCAGTTTTCAACACATGAATTTTGGGGAACACATTCAAACCATAACACTTAAGGGTAATTTTAAAAAATAAGCTTGTTGAATTTCCTGTTTCACTCTTACCCTCTTCACTTTCTTGTCACATAAACATGATCTTGTGCAGTATGGCCCAAATTAAAAATGAACAGCAATGTCCTTGATGATTAATATTGCTTAATGTTCACTCAGAGTTCATGCTTATAAAAGTATAAGTCTTCAATACAGGTTTTTTTGTTCTGGGTTTTTGTTTTTTCTTAATCTACTACCTTCTGTTGGTTTTGAAACTACAATTCTCTGTGTATATACCTACATACGACAGCCTTGCACATAATTTTCTTATGTTACTTGGGAAAAAATAGGGCACTTTGAAAGTGAACTTCAGAAATATCATATGCCACACATTCAGCTTCAATTAGCTAGAAATAGCTGAGAAGCAGGAAGGAAAAGAGGTCTCTGAACAATCAAATAATAACAGCTGACATTTATAGAGTGCTGCCTGCCAAGCACTGTTCTATCTGGATTACAAACATTACCTCACAAGAAACGAATAAGGGTGAGGATGTGGAGAAACTGGAATATTTGTACATTTTTATGAGAATATAAAACAGTGTAACTGGTATAGAAAAGCATATGGTAGCTCCTCAAAAAATTAAAAATAGAATTATCCTATGATTCAGCAATCCCACTTCTGTGTATATATGAAAAAAGATGAAAACAAGATCTCAATAAGATATTTTCACTCTCATGTTTATTTCAGCATTATTCACAATAACAACAATGTGGAAGCAACCCAAATGCCCATTGATGGATGAATAGATAATGTAATGTGATATATACAGGCAACGGAATATTATTCAGTCTTTTAAAACCTTGAGGACTTGATACTAAGTTAAATAAATCAGTCACAAAAAGACAAAGTGTATGAAGCTACTTCTATGAGGTATTTAATGTAGTCAAACTCAGAAACAGGAAGTAGAACTGTGATTCCCAGGACTACGGGAGGGGCAAATGGGGAGCTCTTGTTCAATGGATATCGAATATCAGTTTTACAATGAAAAAGTTCTAGGGATCTGTTGAACAACGAGCATATAGTTGATACTACTGAACTGTACACTTAAAAATGGGTAAGATCGGCTCAAAAATTCCTTTCAGCTCCCACATATGAGTGAAAACATACAGTGTTTATCCTTCTGTGCCTGAATTATTTCACTTAACATAATGTCCTCCAGGTTCATCCATGTTGCCTCCAATGACAGGATTTCATTCTTTTATATATATATTTTGTATTTATGTTCCACATTTTCTTTATCCATTCATTTGTGGATGGTAGGATAAATACAATTAATTATAGTTTGTTGTATATTTTCAAAAAGCTAAAAGAGAGCATTTTGAATGTTTGCAATGAAAAAAATGACAAATGTTTAAGGTGAATGGATATGCTTATTAGCCTGCTTTGATCATTATACATTGTATACATGTATTGAAATATCACTCTGTATCCCTTGAATATGTAAAATTATTATGTATTAACTAAAATCTAAAAATGAAAAGAAATGCAGAATTAAAATGATAAATTTTGTTATGTGTTTTTAATCTCAAAAATAAACAACAAATAAATAACATAATTAATTGATAAAATGTGGACTATATATGCAGTGAAATATTACTCAAAAACAATATTTGTATTGATATTAAAAATGAATTAAATTCTAAATACATGCTACAACATGGATGAACCTTCAAGATATGATGCTAAGTGAAAGAATCCAGATACAAAATGACAAATATTGTTATGATTCCACTTATATGAGTACCTAGGATAGTCAAAATCATAGAGTCAAGAAGTAGAATGGTGGTTGGTTGCCAGGGGATTGAGGGGAGGAGAGCATGGGGAATTACTGTTTAATGAGTTTCAGTTTGGGAAGATAGAAAAGTTGTGATAGGTGGTGGGAATGGTTGCACAACAATGTGAATGTGCATAATTCCACTGAACTGCGTGCTTAAAGTGGTTAAAATGACAAATATGTTATATATTTTACCACAATCTTTCTTAAAAATGATGTATGAGATTATTCACGCATAAACACAAGATTGGGCTGTTGGGACTATAAGACTTCCTTTTTGATGCTTGTGCTAATAAAATATACATACATCCAAAAATCTAAAATTTAAAAACCATGAGATAGTGTGGTAAATTATAGATGGCCACAAATTCTTCACTATCCCTTCAATTAAAAGGTGGACTTTTATTCTTCTCTTGAATCTGGGCTGGCTTAGTGGCTTTTTTGACCCAACAGAAGTCACTTCTGGGACTTCAGAAGCTAGATTATATGAAGTTTTGTAGCTTCCTCCTATTTTGCTTGGAACAGCTCCCTTTTCTCCCATTTTACTTCCAAGTGCTCCCTGTCAAAACCCAAACACCATGTTATAAGCAACCCAAATCAGAGGGAAAGTGTAGGCACTGATAAATAGCTCCTGTTGAGCATCTAGATATCAGCCAGCTTCAACTGCCATCAATGTAACATCCATTAGAGCCTGACATTAACTACAGCCTCAGTTTGACATCTGACTTTAAATGCCAGAGACTGCAAGCTAGGACTTGCCCAGCCTAGCCCAGTTAACCTACAGAACCATGGCAGATAAAATTTTTGGCTACTAAATTCTGGAGTGACTTGTTACATAAGTACCATAATGTCTATTTTAACAAACTTGAGCCTTAGAGCTGAAGTGATTGCCCATGGTCTCTCTTCCAGTAAGCAGAGGAACTCACACTTAGCCAAGTCTTTCTGGTTCTAAAGCCTGCATTGCTGACTACTAAATATACAATTTCTCAGTCAACACAGCTACAATAGTTTTTTATTTTTAACTTAAAAAAATCCTGTATTTTAACTCATAGCAGAGTTATGCCATATACACCAAGTCTAAGGGTAGTAAGACTAACCTTGATATACATAGTACCTTCTACAGTTGTGCACTCAACAGGCTCCATAGCCATATGAACGGGTCCTGAACAAACTCCAACCACTATCCCTGACTAAAACTTCTCTTGAATGTTAGCCATCATTCCAACAAAGGGATTATCTGTTGTTTTTGTACCTAAGGAATTTCAAGGAAGAGAGGCTGATACTAGAACCCATGGATGACTGAGAAGAGATATTTTAGAATTTAATTAAAAAGTAGGGATTGAAATTAAAACAACACAGTGGTTTAAGGTCATATAGTGTAAGGCAAACTTTCTGCAGCACTCAGAGACCCCATGATGATGCCACTGTATAGGAGAAACACTAACTTACGACCTTCTTAATGAAAACCTGTATCATTAAGGTACAAATAAATTCTAAAGATGAAGGTATAAATATTACATGCACTACCTGGAAATGTTAAAACTAGTTTTGATATCTTATAAATACTACTCATAGCACTGAGAAAATATCACTAACATTTATTACAATGATTTATGGGTGTGTTTTAATTTTCTAAACTTGAGGTAGGACACCTTTCTTATTCATGAGTGTTCACTTCAAGCCCCACCACAGTGCTTTTTATGAAAAGAGGAATGCTAATAAAATGAAAATGATATGCCATCGAATTAAAAATTCAGGCCAATTGTGCCGAAATAAATCTTACTGCATGCCTTCTAAATATGCCATGCCCTAAACTAGAAACTTCTAATTCCTATTTATTCTTTAGAATGATCTAGGAAACAGAAAAGTCTGTTTCCTTTATTAAAGTTTAAATACAAAAGAAACTGACAGAAGCAAATAGCATGAACATTTAATTTTGTCTTCACTTACAGAAAGAATGTAATATGAAAGCTGAGATTAGGATGAATAGTACAAGAATATGATGAGTTTGTTTTTGCTTGTCCTCCCAAAGCTCCAAATCAAAAAACAGATACATAGTTTGACATATGGAATGGGATAGCTAAAACCGTCACTGCCTAAGACAAGGTGAAACCTAAGGTGCTGAATCATACTAGGGAAAGAGGGGAAAAACCCATAGGTCTGGTATCAATCAAGAAAAGAAGAAGAAATAGGGGATTCCCCAGCCTTCTTTAGCTTTTTCTTCTCCAGCAGCATTTGACAATGCTTACGTCTTGTCAAATCCTGTCTTACATGGCTTTAATGTACCCTAACTTTCCTAAGGGGTATTTGTTTCCATTTAAATCTAGACATTTTTAGCCCATATTAATTATATGTATATAAGTGCAAGAACACAGAATTTAAAAGGTAAAAAATCTGAATTTCAGTCCATCTGTGTGACATTGTGCAAGTCAATTAAACCTTCTGAAGAGAATTCCTTATCCATTAAACCGCGAAAAAGGCGATTAAGTTGATCCGTGCCTACATGTCAGAGTCGTGTAGAGTTTTTAGTGACATTGATGTGAAATCCTTTTGGACTGTAAAATACTATTACTTACGTGCAAAGACAATGTCCTGAAATCACAGACGAATGATTTAACATTAACATCTTTAACTGCGATCCCGTCCTTCCTCTCAAAAAAAAAATTTCTTCATTTTTAGTTGAATGATTCTAGGAAAATCTCTATTGGATCCTGTTTACTTCGAAAATGATAAAAGCGAGATCCAGAGGCTTATCCAAGACCACAGAGAACCAATGGAAATCAAGACCAAACCACACAGTGGAGACTAGTTCCGGCGCATCAGACTCAGTGCTTCCGGCATGGCGCTTTAGGGTCACGTGAAATACCAGCAAACTCCCCCCCCCCGCCCCCGCCAGAAGTCCGAAATGCCACGCTGAACATGGCTGCCACGATTCGACGCTTCTTTACACACTCAATATGGACACGGGTTGCGAGTTCAGCCCCGGATGACAAGACTCCGGAAATGGGCGACCGGCGGCGGAAGCGGAAGTGCCTCACGGTGGGGGCCGCGGGAAGTGCCTGTAGCGTCCCTCCCTCTCAACCACAATAACAGACGGAGGGTCGGAGTAGGTGAGGCGGCGACCGAGTGGGCCTGGGAACCGGGAGGAGGGTGGCAAAGCCAGGAGTGCGTGTGGCAGGGCTGAGGTAGTTGGATGGGGAATCTGCAGCTTCCGAACGTTGAAGCTCGGCCTCTGGCCCCCTTTGGGCCTAGAGCTCCCTGAGAGATCAGGGGTTGCATTTGTGATTCCTGGCCTTCCAGGCCGTGCTTGCGGGGTTTGCCACCTTGTCTGAACCTGGCTCTCAAATCCAGCATGAAGAACCGTCTCTGGGCGCCACTTTCCTCAATGAAATGGGTGAGGGGGCCTGGACAGCTTCTTGGACTGTCTCCCACTCCGAGCGTCACGAATTTCATGATTTTAATGTTAAGTCGGTGTTTGCCGGTAAAGTGAAGGAGGCCTGTGTTCAGCGTACTGAGGGGCATATCCCTGAGCAGGAAGCAGTGAACACATCTTTGAGAGGCTGCCACGCCTGAGCATCAGGAGCCCCGAATTCTAGTTTTGCCCCTTTCACCGACATACCGTGTGACCTTGTCTAGATCCATTACGCTTTCAGTGCTGCAGATGGCTTATCTGTGTTGGATGTCTTTGAGGTCCGTGCTCTAGCTATGGAAATCAGATTCTCAACTCCCCTTTCATGGAGTCTTTACGGACCTGAAAAGCATGTTTTGCCTGCACTCTGCACAGCCAGAATTTGACTAAGAGATGTCTACCGTGTTTTTTTTACAGCCACCAAGCTGGCCAAGGGCAACTGGGCACTTAGGAAGGTTCCTGTTCAATGAGAAGCTCTGTCCGGAAAACTTTGTTTTATGCGTCTATACCAGCAGTGTAAATCACAAAGTGAAAAGCAGGAGACCTTAATTTTTGTTCCAAAGTTGCTATTAACTTGATGGTTTATTTTAGGCTCCTTCCTCTCTCTGAACTTGAGATGTTTTATCTGCTAAAGAAAGACATTGGATTAGGTCACTGGTTTTTAATCTTCTTTCCCACCCCACCCACCCCCAGCAGAAGTGAAGGATAACATAATAGTTCTATAAAGCCATGATTTTCTCAGGGAGGGAGGAGGTCCAGTTTGGAAGATACGTATTACAAAGGCATAGACTGAAAAAAACCTGCTTGTAATTTTTAACTTTCATTTTGAGAATTAACATGCTAGATTATTTGTAAACCTTCTTTTCCCTCTTTGAAATGTGTGATGCAGTAATTCTGATGTCCGCCATGGGTAAATAATGTAGACTTTTGTGTGCCTCTTTGTTTAAATGACTGTGTGCCCAGAGGTACAAACTATATTTAGTCAAGCAGATACTAATGCTTAGTAGAGGAGAAAGAGAGACAACTAGATTCCAGTAAGAGTGAAGTAAAATTACAGTGCAATAAAATTAGCAGTATACTAAAATAAAATAAGGCAGTATAGGAAAATAAAATTTAAAAGGAGTTGAAGACCTGGATTCCTGTTTCACCACTGTTACATTCTACCTCTGTGACTTTGCACAAGCCTCACTTTTCTTATCTGTAAGATAAAGGGTTGAACTGAATCATTCTAGGCTTGTATTCAGCACCATAATCCTGTGGGGTTTTTTCATGTGTGGTTTTTATCTGAGTAGTTTGGTGGATGCGGTGTGGTATTTCTTTAAGCTGGAGAGGCTATCCTAGTCAGTAGATACACTAGATATTAAATGATGTCACTTAAGGTCTTTGAGGTCAAATTAAGTGACTTGCAAGATTACTTTGATATGAGCAAGCTGAAGCCAATAGAAACTAAAGAAAGGTGTTAGGAACCTGAAGGGCAGGAAAGCCCTTAACCGGATAGGATCATTGAGAACACTGGGAAGTTTTAAGTGACAGAGGGGTATTTTTGATGAGGTTAAAGAAAAGTAATATGAGTTTGGGATGGGAAGGAGTTTTGAATTGACAACATAGGTGGAGAAGAACACTTTTTGGAAACAACTCTGGTTTAAGAATGTGCTTGCAACACTAAGACAAAAGTAATGCTTCCTGTGGCTAAGGTCAGCTGAGCAGGCAGCCACAGAATGACTGTAGTATACCTAAAGTGGCCATAGACCACTGCATGGGAGCGTAAATTAGATGGACCATAAACCCTAATTTATGACGTAGGGTGTGGTCAGCGGCAGTTCTATCAGAGCATCTTGAAGCCTTTCTCTGAGCACTGGGGCATTGCTCTGGAATGCAGGGAGACAACCACGGTGAGAGAGGACTGACTTGATAATAGGATGTTTAGTATAACCTGGAAAGCCTGTATCCCAGCCTGAACCTTGACACTATTTAATCTTGGGCAAGTGATTTGTCACCTTATCCTCTCTGGTTGTTTGGCCATCTGAATATTTTGAGATCACTGGATGAGCGTCGATGTATGTGACTACGAACCTCCTGAAGTTGTGTCTGTATTTCTGCTTGCATGAGTCTGGAAAACGGATGTGCCACTTTCATCATATTCTCAGATGGGTTTGTGACCCACAAAAAAATTGAGAACTGTGAGGGTAGGTAGGCTCTCAGCTCCTCTTCAACTTTTAACATTCTGAGATTCTGTAATTCTGTCATTCTGATATTTCTTTAAGGTTCAGAGTCTTGAGTGTCTAGAAATTGCTAAGCCTATAAGTAACACCTGGTACCGCAAAATACAGTCTTTATATGTAACACTCTCTTGTTATTTATGCAGGCATATCTCAGAGATACTGCAGGTTCGGTTCCAGACTACCGCAGTAAAGCAAGTCACAAATTTTTTTGGTTTACCTGTGTATATAAAAGTTAGATTTCACAATGTAGTATAATCTATTAAGTGTGCAACATCATTATGTCTAAAATAATGTATATACCAAAATTTAAAAATACTTGATTTTAAAAAATGCTAACAATCTTAGCCTTAAATGAGTCATAATATTTTTGTTGATGGAAAGTCTTGTCTCTGTCTCAATGGCTGCTGACTGATAAGAATTGTGGTTGCTGAACATTGGAGTGGCTTGGCAGTTTCTTAGGACAACAGTGAAGTTTGCCTCATTGATTGGCTCTTCCTTTTAGGAAATATTTTGTTGTACCATGCGATGTATGATAGCATTTTACTTACAGTAGAACTTCTTTCAAAATTAGAATCAATCCTCTCAAACCCTGGCACTGCCGTATCAACTGAGTTTATGTAGTATTCTAAAATCTTCATTGTCTTTTTCAATAATGTTCACAGCATCTTCACCAGAAGATTTCATCTCAAGAAACCACTTTCTTTGTTCATCTATAAGAAGCAACTTTTTTTCTGTTCAAGTTTTATCATGAGATTGTATCAATTCAGTCACGTGTTCAGGCTCTACATTCGATTCTAGTTCTCTTGCTATTTCCACCACATCTGCAGTCACTTCCTCCACTGATGTCTTTTTTTTTTTTTTAATTAATCCCGCTTTTCTATAATCACAGAAGTCTTGAACCCCTGAGTCATCCTGAGGATTGGATTCCAAACTCTTGTTAATGTTGATATTTAGACCTCCTCCCATTAAACGCAGATGTTCTTAACAGCTTCTAGAATATGTATCCTTTCCAGAAGATTTTGAATTTAGTTTGCTCATATCCATCAGAGGAATCACACAGTCTATGGTAACTATAGCCTTATGAAATTTATTTATTAAATAATAAGACTTGACAGTTTTTGATCTGTCAGCTGCAGAATGGATATTGTGTTAGCAGACATGGAAACTATTAATCTCCTTGTATATCTCTAATGGACCTCTTGGACGATTAGGTGCATTGTCAATGAGCAGCATTATTTTGAAACAAAACTATTTTCTGAGCAGTAGATCTTAGTAGAAGGCTTAATAGAAGGCTTAGAATATTTAGTATACCATGCTGTAAACAGATATGCTGTCATCCAGGCTTTGTTGCTCCTTTTGTAGAGCATAGACAGAGTAGATTTAACATCATTCTGAAGGGCCCTAGGATTTTCAGAATGTTTAGTGAGCACTGGCTTTAACTTCATGTCACCTGCTGCATTCTCTAACAAGATAATCAGCCTGTCCTTTGAAGCTAGGCATTTACTTCTCTAGCGATAAAAATCTGATATGGAGTATTACTCCAAGGGAAGGCTGTACATACTGAAAATCTGTTGTTTACTGTAGCTACTTTCAGCCATTGTCTAAGGTAGATCTTTTGGATAACTTGCTGTAGCTTCTCCATCAACATTTGCTGCTTCACCTTGTGCTTTTCCATTACGGAGACATCTTTTCATAAACTCATGAACCACCCTCTGCTAGCTTTCAACTTTTCTAAAGCTTCCTCACGTCTCTTAGCCTCCATAGAATTGCAGAGACTTAGAGCCTTGCTCTGGATTAGGCTCTGGCTTAGGGAATGTGGCTGGTTTGAACTTCTGTCCATACAACTCAGACTTTCTCTATATCAGTAATAAGCTGTTTTGCTTTCTTATTTGTTTATTCACTGGAATAACACTTAATGTTATCAGTAACTTTTTCTTTGTGTTCACAACTTAGCTGTTTGGCACCAGAATCCTAGCTTTTGGTCTGTCTTGTTTTTTTTTTTTTTTTTTAAGATGGAGTTTCACTCTTGTTACCCAGGCTGGAGTGCAATGGCGCGATCTCGGCTCACCACAACCTCCGCCTCCTGGGTTCAGGCAATTCTCCTGTCTCAGCCTCCTGAGTAGCTGGGATTACAGGCACGTGCCACCATGCCCGGCTAATTTTTTGTATTTTTAGTAGAGACGGGGTTTCACCATGTTGACCAGGATGGTCTCGATCTCTTGACCTCGTGATCCACCCACCTCGGCCTCCCAAAGTCCTGGGATTACAGGTGTGAGCCATTGCGCCCGGCC